GTGCGGAAAGAGCCATGCTGGATGTCGCGTCGCTTTGTCCGCAGACTAGCACCTCGAACGAGATGCTCGGCAGTCGAAGGTTCCACAACAAGCTGAAGAGAGTCGTTGTTGAATCTGAGATTGTCGGGAGAGGCGCCTTCGCGATAGACGGCATTCTGGGAAGCATTAGCTACTGGCTTTGAGGCATATTCACGGCAGACGGACCCAATCCTTTGCATACTTCTGAGCAAAGTCTTCGGCGATGAAGTCGATCGGTAATTGGGTAGTCTCGTTGAAGTAGACGATGATGGAGTCGGTAAAGAGCTCTGATGTCTGGGTGTCGTAGAAACCGCAGGTACAATTGTCCTGCCCACGCGTGACATCCGCAAGCGCAGGCAAGATATGCACAAGGGCAAGACCGAGCAAATGAGAGGAAAACATGCTGATGAGAGAGAGTGACTGAACAGAAACAGGGACAGATCCGCTGCTCAAGTCAGAAAGGCAGTATTTGTCTGCGACATATGCATGCAGCTAGCTGTGCAAGGCCTGTGTAAAGACCCCGGCCTAAGCTTGCAACACTGCTCTCCGGACGGGGAGGAGCCGCCTTGCTTCTCCGATCAGCATTGGCATCAGGTTGACGGCGTTGCAAAGTCCCCTATCTTGGACAAAGTCTTAGCCTGCTTCATGAGGGTCATGATCGGAGCGTTGCCTCAGCGGGGAGCGCGCGGCCCTGCAACAAGGCCAAAAAAGGTATGCAAGCTTTGCTTGGCAGGCCCGTACTTGATAGCAAGCAGAATGGACGTCGTGGCATGGGGCTAACTAGCCGCCGTAGGACGTGCAGACGAGAAGGTTGAGGAAGATGCCGTGCCCGCGCTGTCGGTGGGTCGGAAACGTGCGCCGCACTCCTGCCCGTGCATCGACGCTAGCACAGACGTTTCCTCCCAATGCATCCCGCGCTCGTTCTGCCTCAACAAACCCGACGAAACTTCATCACCATCCCAGTTTCGATCATTGATCTTCGTTGCCAGCATCGACCGATATCAGCCGTTTCCGGAAGGCGACAAGGGTCCGCATCACACTGCCAGTCCCAGCCGTGCTTCATGCGCTCAGCACGCCGCAGCGGGAACCCATTGTCGTGTCAATACCCAGTGCAGTGTCCCGTCTCTCAGCTTCTGCAGGCTCAGTGGCACCGTGGACACCGGATGCCAGGAAAATGCACCGCCAGATAGCGGCTGGCGTGTGTCCCTCCGATGTTCCTTCCCCAACCCGCCCGATTCTGCATGTTCGTTGACGTTGACCAAACTGCGGTCAACTGGTAAAAAGCACCTGGTTGGCCCGCCAGACTTGTGGACGTGGGTTTGACATGTGACTTGGCATATTCACCATTCCCGACCTGTAGAGCTGTACCGGGGTCGACATGGCCAACGTGCAGGCCGACCCACTCCAATCTCATTATCACAACTTGGCGCTGTTGATGCTAGGTAATGCTGATCTCAGTTGAGCACGAAGCTTGCATGGAGACCAGCTCCCACGGGCGGTAATCACGGTTTCGACATGAACCCTTCGGCGGTTTTGCCCCTTCTACAGTCGCTGCGTGTCGGCTACGGTGTTTACCATACGCACTAAGCAATTGTGCAATCAAGGGCCGAATATATGTTCTGTATCCGCTCCTTGTCAGTAGTCTCACCCCCTCCATCATAGTCACCATTCGCTTTGACTACCTCTTCCATCGTTACTGTCACATCATACACTCGTTTCAAGATGTCTGACACCACGAAGGACTGCGTAATTGAGGTCGGGGAGGTCACTTCTCCTACGGCCAACAAGAAGTCGGTCGCCAAAAATCCTTCCATCGCTACTGAGGCAATCGGTCGGACATCTTCCTGGATCTCTGAGTGGACGCCCTTCGGTCTGGTCGCCTCCTACTACGTCTTCTCGGTATGCCTCTACATGTACTGCAGCAACGGGCTGATTGCCATCTTCTGGTTCATATACATGTGCACCAACTTTTACATTGCCGGCACAACTGTCTTGGAGGCCTTCTTCAGTATCACGCCCTGCCGCGAGGCAAGAGCAATCGTCACGCAAGCGCAGGAGAAGCAGTGGCTGTTCCCCACGCCACACCACAAGCTACCCATCCTCGATCTTCTCATCGTCGCCTACCTACCCAATGAGCAGGACATCATCATGGACCGCGCTCTTTACGCGCTTGAACAGCTCGATTACCCCTCTGACAAGATCCGTATCGTCATCCTCTACAACACCCCCAAGCCAATCGAGCCATTGGAGACTGAGCTGCACCAACTCCCTATGCGCTTCCCCCATGCAAGGGTCATCAAGGTACCCAACTCGACTTCCAAGGCAGACAACCTCAACTACTACTTCACGCTGGACACTGGATCTGACATCATCGCCATCTACGATTGCGACCACTACCCTCACCCCAACTCACCACGATGGGCCGCTGAGCGATTCGTTGCCGAGAAGGATGTCGACATCGTCCAAGGCCGCTGCATCATCTTCAACTCCGACGACAGCTTCATGACCAACATGATCGCAGTCGAGTTCGACAAGATTTACGCTGTCTCTCATCCCGGTCGTTCTACTATGTGGGGATTCGGTCTCTTCTGTGGATCCAACGGTTATTGGCGCACATCCCTTCTTCGCAATCTGAAGATGGACGACACAATGCTTACTGAAGACATCGACTCTGCACTTCGCGCATTCTCCAAAGGTGCCAAGACCGTTCATGATCTCAACGTAACTTCCTACGAGCTGGCCCCCACGACCTTCAGCGCATTCTGGAAGCAACGTCTCCGGTGGGCTCAGGGCTGGGCTCAGGCGAGTATGCGACACATGAAGATGGTTTGGAATGGCGTCAAGGATCCGTTGCACGAAGAGCATGCCAAGCGCAGCTTCACTGCCCGCTTCGGTGTTTTGTCGCTATTACTCATCCGCGAATCCTCGTACTATCTCGTCACACAGTACACGTGTTTAGTCGCATCATTCGTTATCGTCAAGTTCCCGACGTCCGGGGAGGAGCTCTGGAAGCTGGTCTATTTCCAGTACCCCGTATCACAGTGGCTTTTCATTATCAGGTTCGTACAGCCCTTGACGTAATCTTGTACCTCGCTAACGGTGTCGTGTCACAGTATCGTCTGCTTGATTGCTACTCTTTGGATCACCAACCAGGTCAAATCCGAGTACATCTCCAGAAGGATGATCATTCTCTTCTCGGTTCTGTACCCGTTTTACCTGGTTCTCAACGCCACAATCGGTCTTTACGGCCACGCTCGCCAACTTGTCAAGTACAGCTCCTGGAACCCAACAGCTAGGAAGTAGGGCCATACCATATCATATTATCTTCTTAATTTTCTTTTTTGTCAATATCATAGGGAAGGGGCACAAGGCTTTGAATGCTCTCGTTTAGTTCGGGATGAAGCCCGCAAGCCACTAATGGCGGCTGAGGCTTTCATGAGTCACGCAACAGTATATAATACACGATTAATTACATCATAATCACTATTACTACATACCATTTCTGCACATCTTGACACGATGACCGTTGTCGCAAATAAGGTTCTTCGAGAAATGATGCGCTCTTCTCGTTTACCAATGATCATTGTCTATCGATTGACTCTGTTGTCCTGGCTCCTGAGTGGTCAACATGTGAAACTCGATCTATGAGATAACGCGCGGCATCACAGCGGAATGCAGAGCATCAGCCTTATCCCGGGCGACTCACGTCGGCGATACGATTTCCGATCTGTCACGCACAGTCTATCACGGAAGGTAAACTCAGAGATAAGTAAAATCCTAGCATGAAGCAGGGCCGAAGGGCAGCGCTTTACTGAAACGGACCCTGCACCCTGATGCGTTGCCAGAAAGCATCGGCCTAGCGACATGAAAAAGGAAATAATCAACAGCACCAGGGGTGGCCGGGACATTACAAGTCGACTATGCGGGCGATCGACACGCGCTCGCTAGCGCGTAGATCCACTTCGCAAGTGTGCGTTCCCTAGGCCGCGTGGGATGCTACCTACCACACTACACCTGGCGGGTAGCACAGCATCGTAGGCCGGCGGAACCATCCGCAAACTTGCTAGAAAAATTCGACACGGCGTTATCTTCGGTGAGTAGGATCTGTCCCAGCTGGCTTTTGCTCTCCGGAACGCGGACCTTCCTTTTTCGGTGTGAGCACACGAGTCAGCCCCTCGGATTTTGGAAAACGTGCGGATTTCACGACCCTTCGTGGCCTATCGCACGGATGTTCGGTATGAAAATCAACGTGCACGGACGGCCGCAGTTGACATGGCGGTCACTGACAGGTGTAGATGCCCAAGTAGGGCTGCCCCATGCGCCACACGTGGAAGGTTCTGAGGAAGGCCGTTGCCCGGCGGTACCTGGGTGTTGAGGGATCAGGGTGCTTTTCATCGAGCACGTCACGACGTGCGTCTGGGATGTGTATGATGAAGACGGCGACGTTACAAGTCGGCAGGCCGACATTTCAACATCCGAGATCAAGATAACGATCAACAGCCGCCCGCTTCGTGTAAGTGGTCCGGATGCCAGAAATGCGAACTATTGTATGCCGCCAAAGTTACCCGCTGCCAGCCTCAACTAGGGTCAACGCTTATCGAACAACTGCTCAGCGGGACGTAGAGAACGCCACAAAAAGCATAGCTGACCCTTGGCATGCATGCGCCTGAATTGTGCTCGGAAGCTTGCGTTGCAACTAAGCTCAACGCTTCCCGTGCTCGGTAGGCAGACGCTGTGCTAGTCACGGAAAGAAAAGTCGCCTTCAGGTACGTGGTCGTTCTGGTGGCCAAGATGCTGATCTCGGGTCTCCCACGGGGGGTCTTTGGTACGGGACGTGGTGCTACTGCCGCGAGTAGTCGCCAAGGGTCGTGCTGGTTTTGTTGTCTGTGTGGAATCAGAAGTCGAGGGTAAATTGCCTTGTTTGTAAGCTGCTCTTCCTCTTTATCACCGAGATCCTCATCTTTACCGCGATATCGAACAAGATGTCTGCAACAATGGAGCCTACCCTTTCATCCAAACTCAAGGCTATCTTCCCCTCGTCGTCGGCCGAGCAAGGAACGACAACCCTGTCGGCTGACCAGAACTACCTCATTGGGCTTCGTGGCCTGTTTGTATTCCAATCATTCCTCTACGTGTTCTTCCAGACCTTTCTTCCAGCCGCCCTTCCAGACTCGAAGAATGTTGATGGCCCGGCGTACCAGGTCGCACTTCGAAAGTCATTTTCAGTAATCTTCGCCAACGAGGCATTGATCTACTCATGGATTATCTTCCTCTCCGCGCGCACCATTTGCTTACCTTACCTCGCCAACAAGACGCGTGAGGTCGGCGCATCGAGTGTCTTCCGTCGTGGCATCAGACTATGGATTCCGACTTTCATCGCCTACTCTTTTGCGGCAGCGGCATTCAGCACAACCTCGACCGACTACATCTCCGACTTCTTGGCCTCTACTGGCAACATCTCCACCATCGCACCGACGCGGATCCAGAACTTCTTGATTTACTTCAACTCCCTTTTTGAGATCTTCTGGGTCAACAAGCGTTACGCTAGTCAGGCCGCCAACGATGTCTTCCCATCTGGTACGCTTTGGATAGTGTCCGTGCTCTTCCAGCAAAGTTATACCGTCTACATCACCATGGTCATTGTTCCGAATACACGCACCTCATGGCGAGTAAAGGCCATGCTAGCTTTCATCGTAGCAGCGTTCTGGGTACAGAGCTGGGCCTGGTACAGCGTTACTGGCCTCATCATTGCTGATGCGGTCCTCAACATGGACTTCAAGGCCCGGTCCCAACGAGGATTCAAGATCGGCAACTTCGGTATCCAAGTCTGGCCACTTTACGCTGCGATGGTCCTTACCGGTGTTGTGCTGCAGTTCGCCTTCATCTCCGGAAAACCAGACATGCGCGACAATGAGCTATGGGGTCACACCGCGCTGTACGATGACGGATTCTTGAACGAGAACGTAGATCTAGACCAGCCGATGGCGAGGGTCGACAACTACCTCATCATCCTTGGGTCGATGCTTCTGGTTGAGACGTTCGAATTGCCCCGGGCTATCCTTCGCGGAGGCTTCTTCGTTTCGCTAGGCAAGAGGAGCTTTAGTAAGTCGCAACTCTTCGACAAAGTCATGAAACAATTACTTACACATCCCAGGCTACTTCCTCGTCCAATCTATACTCATCTACACCGCCGGTATCAAGTTATACACGCACATGGCCGACGCCGGCATGAACGGTTCTCTGAGCACTTTTGTCTGCTTCTTGGTCTGCGCACCGCTGGTTGCTATAGTTGGAGAGATTTTCTACCGTGTTGTTGATTTGCCGAGCATTATTCTGGCTAGAGGATTTTGGGCGTTCATGACGAAATAGGTGGCGGCAACGGCGCGCTACCGGCACGTGTGTCGGGTCATCGTCAGCCACATTTCTTGACATCTCGCTTACCAGCCGCGCAGCTTCTCTCCTCATTCGCATTGCTCGGGGAAACATTATCCGTCACATCGCCCTTGCACAAGACATTTGGCGAGAAGCTCACTGGCCGACAAGCCTTTCTCCATAGCTCGGCATGCTCCTTGGAGATATCCCCGCAGCATTGGTGATCCTTCGAAACTTCCCCGCAATGTGGAGAGACTTTAGCCTATGAACATTGGTTCGGGAAGATGTACAGTTGCTTGGACGTGGGCGTTACACTAGCTAGATCCTTCGGTGTTGTTAATCTGTATTCCATTTTCTGTTCGCATTCTTCTCCTGTTGCTGCCGTGAAAGCGCGTTCTACTGTGACTAGTCTGCTAACCAGCCACAATGGATAAGCCCAAGGAAACAGACACTGAACGCATCGAAAAGGCGATCACAATCGATGAGACGATCGATCAAGCCCTGGATAAGCGTCTGAATCGAAAGTTCGACCTCCGTATTCTGCCTTGGTTGTTCGGGATATGGTATTTTGCTCCTCAACACTGTTCACGGCGTATGCTGAGTAAGAATTCTAGGCTCTTCTCGTTCATAGACCGCAGCAACATCGGCAACGCAAGAATAGCCGGCCTGTCCGATGAACTTTCCATCACAACTGGTACACGGTTTAACATCGCCCTCCTCGTCTTCTACATCCCGTACATCCTGGTCGACGTACCGTCTAACCTACTCGTCAAGCGTTTGCGCGCCGGGATATACCTACCAGCTCTGATCACGGCATGGGGTCTAGTGTGTACGTTCATGGGCTTCGTGCAGTCATTTGCTGGGCTGGTGGCATGTAGACTGTTGCTGGGATTATGTGAAGGAGGCATTCTCGGTGGCGTGATCATCTACCTTGCCATGTTCTACAGGCGAGGCGAGATGCTACTGAGAAGCGGTCTCTTTTATTGCGCCGCGCCTCTATCTGGGGCTTTTGGTGGACTGCTCGCTTCGGGACTGGCAACCATCGAGGTTGGGGGGTATCGAAGATGGCCCTGGATCTTCTTAAGTAAGTTCTCGCTAATGTTTCACGTTGTGGAGATGTTGCGCTGACATGATCTCAGTCGAGGGCGCAATCACTGTTGTGTTCGGCATCGTATGCTTCTTCTTCATGCCGGATACCCCTGCCGCAGCAGGATTCTTGAGTGATGAAGAGAAGGAGTGGGCATTGCGACGCATGAGGCTTGATGCAGGAGGATCCACCGAAGTCGATGTCGACGATGAGAAGTTCAGTTGGTATTGGGTCAAGATGGCACTCAAAGCCCCGCAGACGTACCTTTCTGCTTTCATCTGGTTCTTCTTGTTGGTGCCGCTCTATGTAAGCTTTTTTGGGATCTCAAACGCCGGAGACTATGCTAAAGCTTGACAGAGCTTCTCGCTGTTCCTTCCTAGTATCATTGCCGGCATGGGCTATGAAAGCACCACCGCGCAGCTCTTCACGGTACCACCTAACATGGCTGCTTTCATCACAGTCATTGGCACGGCGTACGCCTCCGACAAGTTGAAGAATCGCGGTTATTTTATCATAGGAGGCTGCGTGTTAGGGATATGTGGTTACGTTATGTTGATAGTGGCGACGACGAATGCCGTGCGGTACGCCGGGACGTTCCTGGTCGCGATCGGTGTCTTCCAGGGTTCGCCCATGCTTATGGTAAGCTTCGCCCGCGAACCGAAATGCTTACTTTACTCATCTGTCATCAGGGATGGGCGTCCAACAATCTTGCGCCTCACTATGTCCGCGCAGTCGGAATTGGCATGGTAATCAGCATCGCCAATTGCTCGGCCTTCATAGGCACGTTCATCTATCTTCAGCGCGATGCGCCGAAATATGTTCTAGGCCATTCTGTAAGCCTTGGTGCATTGGTAGTAACGATCGTACTCGCCGCCATACAGTGCTGGTACCTCGGCTGGGAAAACAGAAAGCGAGAGAGAGGTGAACGGAATGATAGACTGCTGCGAGCGGATGCGGATAGACTTGGCCATCAACACCCTAGTTTCAGATTCACGTTGTAGCCGGGAGGACATAGTAGCCAAACTAAGCCTTGGTGGTGGTCCAGGGTGGGAGCTGATAGGAACACTACATTAGTACGTCGTCTGAACGTCGAGAAGTCTACCGCCTAAGACACTGTGACACTCAGTCACTTGGCTTTCTTGTTGTCTCTTCCCCCAATCATGCCCTTTTGCTTTGTAGTATTTTTCTTCCACGGTGTCAGACTGCCGCCTCCAGCCACCCAGCCGATTGCCATGACGATCAACGTAAATGGCACGGCCGTCAGGAAGTACCAACCATACGTCGTCTTCAATGCTGAAACACTCTCGTTCATGCTATACAGCCCAGATATGAACGTCAACGGGATGAAGATGGTCGCCAGCCATGTTATCCTCGCCATGTTATGGTTCTCCTCGAGCCCGCGACGCGAATCTTCGATGGAGATCTCCGATGTGACAATACTAGTCAGGCGGTCAACTCGCTCCTGCAATTCATTGACAGCGGCAAGGACGCGTTTGAAGTCAGGCACTATGTCCTCGAACCCTTCGACGTTATCGTAATTTATGGTCAGGTTGTCGGAAAAGAGCGAGCGTACGGAGAGAGGTGATGTGGGCGCAGCGGAGGACTGAGTAGACGGGGTAGTAAGCCGCGCTGCAGCCGGAAGCGCATGTTCCAATGTCTCCGTTATCATCTCCCGAAACACTGGGATCTGCCGACGCCAGGTATGCAGACGCTTGAGCGAGGTGTCAATGGCATCACCTTTCGAGCGGAAGAGGCGTGGCATCTCGAGTTCCCACTCTATCTGGCTGAGACGAGCTCTTACATAGTCGCACACTATGAGCCACTCTGCGCAGATGGTGTATATAGTTGGTTTGGCGAGAACTTGCGCGTTGATCTCATTTCCCTCTTTCCGCTCAAACCACGGGAAAGCAGTCGTCATTTGGACAATGTCTTCGAACCAGGATACTGAAGACTTGATTGAGGGGTAAACTTTGGTGTCCATCTTCGGTGTTGGCAACCAATTACTGCGATCATACCCTTTGCAGTGTCAGTAAGGCAATTCAGTACCTCAGCTACTGTCATTTTGTTGGTACTTACAGAGTGGCCGGCCTTGGCTAACAGTTGGATCTAGCAAGACGATACCGACGGTTCCATTACCACACTTCTTGTCCTTGCCGATCCACATGGATGTACGCGTGCGCATAATGGACACGACTGCTCCCTTTCCATCTTGGTAATGCCAATGGTTCTCATCGTTATCAGGCCGTCTCAGCACGTTCCAAGAGTTTGCTTCCAGCCTCGAGTTGAAATAGTCCCCTTCTGTTTTGTGGTATCGTAACCTCATATTGCGCATCTTGAACCAGGGCCGATGCCTCATGCTTGAGACTAGGCTGGGTGGTGACGCCCAGGGGTCACGTGTGTTGTGCCACACGTAGTCATCGATCTGTTCTCGAAAGAACAATGGATCTATATCGAAACGCGCTCCCAGCAGCTCAATGACTTGTCGAGACAGGTCTTCTACTATGAAGAGGCGCAGGGGAGGTTCTTTAGTATGCTCATGCGACAAAGCTTGAAGAGTTTCTTGAAGCAAAGCAGGTGATTTTATCGCTGTAGCTTTTGGTGCAGTGGCAGGACTATACTCGACGAAGGTGACGTTTGTCTTATTCGCACGGGTTTCGCGTTCCTCTGGGTGCTCTTTGATCTCATTCCAGCGTAGTGGGGTAGTGCTAACCTGCATCCAGTCCGCTAGATGTCGTAAAGTCCTCCACGAAGTCGACAGCGATTTGATGTGCGCCAAATATGGCCGGCTCCTGCTGTTGCTGCATTACGTGAGTCTTGACCTGGAAGACTGTCAATGCTGTGAACTTACGGGTCCGGCAATTCCCACTCGTCTGCGACTGGTATCCTCTCGTATGCATCTCCAATTAATTCATACGGATCAGGGAAATCTGCGCTGTGCGGAATGTGTTTCGCAGACCAAAGTGCGGGAATCGTGCCTCTCTTGGAGGGTTTGCCATTGCTGTTGTCGGAGTAAGTAGACATGATCGCTACCTAGGTACGGACACTGACAACGCGCAACCATGCCAGAGCGGGTGGCGAGATGGATTTATAGATGGGCAGGCTGCAAGGCGATGTTGGGGGCTGAGGGCTGAGAAGGCTGAGACTCAAGCGCGACGATCTCTAGTTGCATCAGGGGGCTCATACATACGCGAGGTTCCAGCTATGTACACCCGCGCGCCTGTATGCGGGTGTGGAGAGCTAACAGACATGCCAGACGGTCCATAATCTTTCTGCAGTCTTGATGGAGTAGATCAAGACGCGTCAAGAAGTCGTAGGGATATCGCGTTGGCTGAATCTCGAATTTGGCGCGCCGTCAGCTGAAACGTGCAATATCCAATTTGGGCTAGACGTGAAGTTGGGTCCGACAGCTGCAGACAGCCACAGGGCTAAGTAAGTCACGCGTCTAATGCCAGCTCATATTGGACCTTTCCAGAGATGACTGCATTACGCGAGAGGCTACTGCGTTGTCGGAATATCGTTGGACTGTGTGGTATGCGCCTGGGGCTGTGATGTTGACTGCTGCTGTCACGAAAGTTGAAGAGGGAATGACTCCACGGAAGTGGTTCCACCGCAGCAGCGCCGCCTGCCATCTCGGTCTCCGGTGATTTCATTCCTCAAGACGCCAACACCCTACATGAGAGCATCCCTTTCAGTTCATCACACGGCATTGCCCCACGTGAAAGGCCATAATGGGGCGTTTCTGGGCTTACTCGCGTACGCGACGTCAGGATCAAATGTGGAGAGAACGCGGGGCGCGCAGTACACCTCGGAAGCCCATAAGGGCCACAGAAACGCAACATTGGCGGGACACTCTTGTGTAGTCGCGCCCATCTCTCGATATCTTGCAGGAGATCATTAATACTCTGCGAAA